GAACGAAGCAAAGTGAAGGACAGGGTCTGGTTTGAACCAGGCTAGGTGGTAAGCAGATCGATCCAATAATACTGCTACTAACCTGGAGTCATGCAGTTTAAATCATTTAACTCCACACGTCTTCAGCTACAGAACAGAAGTCCAGTTGCTTTGCCTTTGTTGTTTTAATTGTCCATGTGCTGGATGACTGAGAATTTGCAGAAACTTATGACAGTAACATCTGACGTCAGTTTCGGACCAAATTGTTTTTAAAGTTACTCGATCTATACCTCTCTTCCTTCCAAAGGAAAAAAAAAGCAACATCGGAGCATCTGGTCAAAGGCAGGTTAAAATACAAACACTGAASTAAACAAGCAGGTCAGAAATTTATTTCATTGGGTCTGATTGTGCAACAACTTATGAAGAAAAACTGAAACACAGAAATATAATGAGTTAGGTTTAAGATTCTGCCCTGCAKCTTTAAAACTAGTTCTTCCACTATTACAAAAACAGTAAACCCAAAACATATACATCATAACAACGCGTCAAAAAGAGACTGAAAAAAATCAAACCCCAAACAKTTTTGATCTGCCTGCATATTTCCTTTCAAAAGACTACAACTCTAATCGTTTGAAAAGTCGACTCTTACAATGTACTTTTTWAACAAAGCCAATACCTCTTCTTCAAAGACGTGAACCCCATCAAAGAGTCTTCAAAAAGACAGACATCAAATTTATCACCACATCGAACATAGAGACAAATTCCCCCTGACCATTGTTGAGGGGAGCTGTTCGATCTTCAGCGCTATGTTCAGTCTGGTGGCAGAGTTCTTTATGTCTCTTTTGAAGGGAACAGCTCAGTCGATWGTGAAAACGTCTCACATGATTCATTTGTTAGGCTCAATCGAAGAAGCCGCAATTTTTCCAAATAATTATGAACAATCTCACATCTTGGGTTGCACATCTTCTTGAAGCATTCACAGGCTTACAAGCAAGGCACTGTGGGAATTGATTGTGCTTCCTTTTCTGTCAAAGTCTCCTAAAAAATAAACAAAATGTGCTGATCAATCTGGTAACATAAGTACACTTCTTGTCAATGTCTCCCACTTTACAATACAGACTTGATGTTGCAGGAGCTGTTTGTTATGACCAACTTGCCAGATGAGAAATTGATCGCTTGCTGCTTGTAGATGCAACAACAATAATTTAAAAACAAAAAAAGGAGGAAAAAAAACAGAACTGACTTGGCTGTCATGTGTAAATGTGTGTCTTGCATAAAGAGTGTCAACTTAAATGACTTTTTTTAAATTAACTTAAAAATCGAAGTAGAATTTCCTAAATAGTAGTTTACATCCCTCACTATCCTTTCTTGTCATGTTTTTTTCCTTTTCTTTTTTTCTTTGAGCTTCAGTCCAGGCTTTGCACAGTCACATCAAATATCCACARCTCCAGATAAAATGCTTTCTTTTTTCTTTTCCAGACCTCAAAGGGAAGTCTGATCAAACAAACAGTAAAAATGTGTTTGCTAAAAGTGCACAGTCTGTTTAGCAGCTTCAAATCCAGCTATCTGGGCAAAACAGTTTTCAGTGTCCTCTTGTAAAATTGAGATTTCATTGTGCATACATGATAAATTCTGGTTTAAATATAGATTAAAATATGTTGCCTTTCTCTTTTTCCCCCATATTTCACCAGTGGTAAAGCATAATAGTGCCTATATTTGAGTGTTGCAGTGTTTAAATGTATGTGAAGTTTGTTTAACGGATTATTTAAATGTGGTTACATCACTCTTCTGACCAAGATCAGGGCCCGTATTTATAAAAGTTCTTAGAATTACTCTTAAGAATGCTGCTAAGAGTGGACTTAAGTGTAAACTAATTCTTAGTTCAAAGCTGAGAGTAAAAGTCAGTTATCAAGCATCTCAGTCTTACTTTAAGCGAAGTGTAGGAGTAATTCTTAAATGTCAGTCTTAGAGCTGATTTGCGACACCTGGCTGTGCTGCAAAGCTGATCCTGGATGACGTTAGAAAAAACACCAGCATGGACCAATCACTGCCTCAGATTTCATGTTCAAGAATATTGTTGGAGAAATGTCTAAATAAAACTGTGAAAATCCTAAGATAAGTTCACTTGCAGCACACTGATATTACCCCCCTGTACTGTTTGTTTGTAAAATACATAAAATGTTCTCATTGGCATCATGAGAACAGTTTTTTTTTATCAAAAACTCAGCAGCTTTAAAGTTGTTTTTTTGTCTCAGAGCCTGAGGTAATGTTGAGCTGCTCCCTCCTCCTCTTCAGACAACACCAGCTTCACACACACACACACACACACACACACACACACACACACACACACACACACACAC